ATAAACCAGTCATTTGTCCAGGTGTCTGTCTGACTTCTCTTTTGGTTCTACATGAATGGTTAATTGCATTTGGCTGTGTACAAATAAGAATATTGAATATTCACTTGTCACTTTGTTGAAATTTGAAAAGGATGGATTGGGTTAATTTATTCAATTTGATAAGGGTTAAGCCTAAACCTGCTGTGGAGTCACAGAAGCAAGACTTGGCCAGCCTCATTTTCCTTGCCATTTGCTTCTGGTGGCCAATGAGAGTGGACTTTTTTTCTGTTCTGTTAGGTAGGGCATTGAAGTCCTTTCCCTAAGTTGTATTTGATGTTAAGTGGCTAAAACACTAAGAGAGGAAATGAGCTTTCATGATGTGGATAGGCTAATGTAATGATTTCCGGTTCATCTTAGTTAATCATTAAACTAGAGGTGGGCTTTGATGAAATATACTAATTTTCTATTAGCCTGTGCTAAGGCTAATTAATCATTTATCTTTTCATAATTGTAAAATGCAATCATTATGTGTCCTTCCAAGTTCTCTATTTTGTCAATTGTCACCCTTTTGAGCTTAGCTTATTATATGGATCAATCCAGCTAGCTCTGCTGACAGTGAAGAGAGCTTCGCACGTGCTGACACCAACGGATTGCATTTGCTCGCGATTTCAGCCGTTAGATCGATGTCAGTTGAACCCAGGACTTCAAATTTTTGACACGAGAGAAGAGTTTTGAGCCATGTGGTTTGATGTCTGTCATGTTTCTCAGCTCTGGAAATGAGGCAAAGTCAGACAACCATTGTTTTTGTTTTCGTTTCTCAATTATGTAAGATTTCTAGGAGATTAGAATATGATGTTACATGTAAGTATGTAACACGCACAGCAAATCATGTTGGCTTGCCTTTGCCGCTTGATATAGTTGGTGAGGCATCTCTTTAAACAAACAATAACCTGCAGCTGCAGGTATGTAAAATATTACCTGATATGTTTCTTTTATTTTAATCCATCACTTTCCAATCTTAAAATCAAAGGGAGTGGCAGAAGGGAACTAGGAATCAGGAAAGTAGGCGCATTAGGAAACTGCGAGAAGTTGGATTTTTTGTTTTCGATCTATCTCATTATTGCGGGTAACGATTTGATTGTAAATTAAATCGAATCAAATTAAAATGAATCGAGAATTGTAATCGAATCAAAAGTTGCATTTGAATCCATTTGTTTTGGTTCAAATAACACTTTTATTTATCGTTTTAAGTTTTATTCGACTTGTTATTAATAGAATTGACCCTGACCCTTGACCTTAACAACCTCTTTCTTAGCTTTCTTTCCCTTTTTCCCCTTTGTTTCGGCTACCGTGTTAAGAACACTTGACAATTACCTCACAATCATATATCCGGCCAACTTAAGATCTCCCCCACAAAGCTCATAGGCACTTCATACTGCTGTTGTCGTGCAGATGATTAAGCCAATCTAACAACTTAGACATCATTGATAGCTATTGTCAATATGAGAATTCTCATCTCTAAATCTGGGGCCGTTTGGATGATAGATTTCGAAAATAAGATAATACACCGAATTTCTTCAAAATTGTATCATCTTATAAATACTACATAATTTCAAGCTCCCTGTCAATTCATTTTGTGTTACCAAACGAGACAATTTGACCTAATTGTTTCATTTTGAAACAATTTAACAAAACTATTCCATTTTGAGACAATTTAACCAAATTGTTCTATCTAGGGGTGTTCAAACGGATTGGTTACCGCGGTAACCATATTAACCAATAGTATTCGGTTAATTTGGTTTGGTTAAACAATTTAGCTTATTTGGTTTAGGTAGTTTGGTTTGGTTTCAACACTGCTAACTAATGAAACCAATTAGCCAATTAATGATACACCTAATATCAAAAATTATTTATACTTCCATGCAACCAACCAAACCAAACTTTCATGATTCCCTATTTTATTTCCATATGCACAACAAACCAAAACATTATGGGTAAAAAATTAAATGGGTCTGCCTATTTACTAAGCCAAAATATTTTGGACAACTATTAGATTTTAGGATAACGTACAATACCATGACAACCACCTCAAACTATGTATAGTTTAAGTGTTTTGTAAGAGAGCTTTAACTTCCTGATGAGTGGTATTGGTATATATTTAATTTTAAGTTAAGGGTTTGTTGTAAGCTAACTATATTAGGTGCAAGATGATGAATGATGTATTAACTCGAATGATGATGATAATCATGGATGGTTAGTCTTATTATTATTTCTTATATAATGATAGTTTATGATAGTAATAACATATAGTTATGTTTTATTCATTAACAGGATAATTGTTTACATGTAATGTTATGTTATTTGGTTAATCCGATTATCTGATTAACCAAACCAATTTATTCTAACTTAATTGGTTTAGTTATTACCACGGTAATCATTTGAACCCTCTAGTTCTATCCAATTCTATAGTCCAAACCTGAATTTCAGCCACAAGTACAAACTCAAAAGGTTGGTAAGTTGGTGGGTCTTGTAGAGACTGGAGAGGAGTGGAAGGTAGAGTAGCCATACAAGCTAGTTTGGTGAGATGGGTTTGGACCACCACCAACATCTCCATCTCTTAGGAGGTTGAAAAGGTTGTTGTTCATGGACCCATTAGATGGAGTAGCACATAAAAAAAGAATTCTAACACATAAAAAAAAAATACTGAATCCCAGAAGATTGAACAAATCAACAACCTTCTTTACAACTAGTGGCCTCTCCCCTTCGCTCACCTACCACAAAAACCTCATCAATCATCATTCAGCAAGCACAATGACATGCAACAGGACAAAAGAGAATGAATGAATGAACAAAAAAGAGCCAAACAATCCCCACCACTTGCTTGCTGTGCCTGGAAGAAGCCAAGGCCAGAAATTGGGGGCTTCCACCCAATTGACAATACTATACTAGCCAAAATGTGGACCCACACCATGAAAATTACAACCAAAACAAACACAAATTCATAAATTATGTAACAAGATCCCAACTTTCATGTCTCCCTCATCCCACTACTCCGTTGTTCAGCCATACCTAAAAGTATCATCTAGCTGCGGCAGGATGCTTGCTCGATGATAAAGCTGAAATTTTTCAGCATTGGTTTCAATAATTTGAATTGTTCGGAGATAATAAAAATGAAAGCCAATTTATGAGTTTGAAATTTGCATATGCTCATCATATCATGCAATAACTCTGTTACCATGTAATAAACTAACCGATCTCAATAACCCAAGTTGTTTAAAAGTGCCAAGTATGGAGTTTAACTCAAGTTCTTACACTCTCCCTTAAATGAGGCAATTTATGGACTTGAAATTTGCACCGACCCATCATACCATGTGTTTTAACCAACTGTTAATATTATGGTCGGAGATTCGAACATATGACCACTTGACCAAACCAGCTCTAATACCATGTAAAAAACCAATTGATTCTTATAACTCGAAATGTTAAGAGAGTTTTATATATGGTACTTAACCGCTTCGTGCTTACACTTTGCATGATGCTTGCTTTGCCTATCTGGATGTTGAGAGTTGGAACCAGCTCTTCTTGTATCCCTTCTTTTTTTTTTGTTGCTGAGAAGCTAGGTGCAAAATAATACACTAATCAGATTAATCATTCAGTTGTCAATAAACAAACATAGCATCAGGGTTATCAAACAAAAGGAAATCAAAGTGAAAGCTTGTGGTAGCTAATATATGGAATATGTGAATATACAAAATGGGTAGAACAAAAAAAAATCAAATCTAGAAAATTGACCATGACAAATATGAATACAATTGAAATTCTCAAGAAACATCCAACAAATGATGTATACCCTCATCAATCGTCTTGATCAAGTGCAAATAATTTAAGAAACGAGTTGTAGGAAGCTACCTAATTAACACCTAATTCACTAATGAGTATACGTAATATGCAAAAAAAAAAAAAAAGTTCTTACATGTTCGATCATATAATGATAGTATCTCATGACTTTTTTGATGATTTTGACAACACCATCATGACCCTCTCATTACGGTACATCTAAACAGTTGTATCAAATCAACTAGTTATATGGATTTAATGGTGTATTTGACGAAATTATAATTATATCGTAAACTAATAATTTTATCGATTTGATATCCGCTAAATATAATCCATGCAAACAAAACCCAATTGAAAGTAGGATTGAGATAAATAAAAAATATTAATAATTCATAATTGAGTTATTTGAAAGATCTAACAAACCCAATCCACTTTCTTGTTATCACAATATTATTATCACTAGAGTTGATGTTGCCATGCCACCATCTCTGTCTTCATCTCCACCTACCCCTACCCACCATCACCATACCATATGCATCTAATTCTCACAAAGGCACAAATTGCCTCTTGGAAGCACAAACATGGGAAAAGCTAAAACATTTCACAAGGATAATCCCCTAAATGTGTTTTTTTTATTAATTATATTTTTATATGAGCTCCCAATTTATTGGTGGGCCAACCCCAATATAGAAGCTTTGGTTTGGTAGACATGGCCTAGGAGTGGGCCAATCCATTCATTCATTCAACTTTACCATTTTGCCCTTCAATTTTCAACCATATTCTTTGGCAGTTAGTTGCCTAGAAACCATAGGAAACCCATAAGCCTATAAGCCTGCTGTTAGATCCAATGGGAATGGATCTAATTAGGGTGCCTCTCACTGTTTTTCTGTGCCATTTAAGTAAATCAATGGATTTCCTTGTGCAATTCCTCCTTTTGTCCCTATAAAGCTTCGGTCTTTGACTTCTTTCATCAGTTTGAGAAAACCTCCCCAGTTCTTATCATCATCCCTCCGGCAGAGAGCTCGAGTGAAAGCAGTTCGTTTCATAGTCAATAGAGGCGAGAAACCCAGAAAGATTTGGTGCTGTGTTTTCCAAACACAAGAGACCAGAGAAAAGTTTAGAGCTTTCCCTTTCTGACAAAAGAAAAGGAAAAGCTTTTTGGACTCTCGTTAGCCGGGGAATGAATGGCTGCCCCGCTGACCATGTGGGACGGGGTTCTGGAGATAACCCAGATGGCGCAAGCTAAGGTCGGCGATCCTCTGCTCTGGGCTCTGCAAATATCGTCCAATCTGAGCTCGCATGGCATCTCTTTGCCTTCCCCTGAGCTCGCGAGTGTATTGGTTTCTTACATTTGCTGGGACAACAATGTTCCCATTCTGTGGAAGTTCCTCGAGAAGGCTTTGGTTCTCAAGATTGTCCCTCCATTCTTGATTCTCGCTCTGCTCTCCGATAGGTTCGAGCTCCCCCCTCTTTACTAATGATTTGTTCTTATGGGTTCCCTTCCTTTTTCCTAATAGAGTGTGTACTTTTCGCCTGTTTTTGAGTTTGTTGGAAGTGAGAAACGTACACTTCGTCCAAATTTTGGCTAAAAGTAGCAATTTTTTGGTACATATTTGGATGAAATCACCGCGATAAATGCACCATCTTTATGCCTGATTTGTACATTAATTTAGTGCTCTGTTACGTAGCTATCTCTGGGTTCTCTATGAACAATTTGCTTCCCTGAACATGTCTCCTGTTAAATTTTGTTTCCTCTTGTCGATTCAACTTATTGAAATTTTGCTTCCCCGAAGTCAACCCAAAACTACAGTTGAAGTAGTTGAGATGTGTTTATCGTTATGAGAAAAAAGGGTTAGTATTCTTATTTCAATATCATCCCCCAAGAGGGTAGGTTAAATGTTCGAGGAAATGCATACTTGATCGTTTCTGTGTATGCATAATGCAATGATTGTAATGAGAACAATTTTTGTGGTGTTTTCTTTCTTCCTCCATCAGGGTTATTCCATGCCGACGTTCAAAGCCGGTGGCATATAGACTATACATGGAGCTCCTGAGAAGGCATGCCTTTGAGCTGAAGGGTCAAATAAATGGCTCAAATCATGAAAAGTAAGTTCGACAGAATTTTCCTTGTACGGGAGTTGTACCTCTTCTAAGCAACGCTGGCATTGTAGACTTTGTGGAATATCTTTCTTTTTCTACTCCTTAGTGCCAAATGAATCATGTTAGTTATGGTAATGGCGACTAGTTTTTTCTTGTCAGTTTGACGTTTTCATTCTTAATCTTTGTGCTCTGTACAGGGTCATGAAATCGATCGATGGAGTTCTTCACCTTTCTGAGATTTTTGGTCTAGAAGCAAATGATCCAGGGATCCTTCTGGTTGAATTCCTCTATGCAGTTGTGTGTCAGTTGCTAGATGCGTCGTTGGATGATGAAGGGTTGCTCGAACTTACATCAGATAAAAAGTCCATATGGCGAATAAAGCCTCAAGATATGGAAATTGATGGTCATGAAATTTTTGATGAGATAAGAATGGAACACAATGAGAAGTTGCATAACTTGAATACAGTAATGGCAGTTGAGTTGATCGGGAGATTTCTTCAGGACAAGAGGACTTCGAAGATTCTTTACCTGGCATGTCACAACTTGTATGTATATATCAGATTTGTGTTTGTAAAAAGGTTCAACCTTCCTGATAAGTGTTGTCTTATGCATATTGCTGTTTTCTCAGGCCCACATATTGGCCAAGGTTTATTGAGAGATTGCAGATACTTGGAGAAAATTCATCAGCTCTAAGGAGTTCAAGGGTTTTAACTTGTGAGGATCTTCTGCGTCTGGCTGCAAACAAGTGCACAATTATCACTCAAGAACCGAAAAAGAATTTGCTGCAGAAGTTCCATGCTGTTACTGGTTTTGAGTCTCCTCTAGTGACATCCTCTGCTGTTCTGTGCGATGGAGGCGGCAGTATTTCATCTCTTTGGCTTCCTCTTGATCTTGCATTGGAAGATGCCATGGATGGTTATCAAGTTAACGCTACAAGTTCTATCGAGATTGTAACAGGTAAGCCAGGGTGCCTTTCTATTGAGCAATTTGATTACTGCTCCCACGAAGGAACTATTGTCAATTGGATGGTCAAGGTTGAATTCACATCTTTCAGGTTTGGTGAAATCGCTTCAAGCTATGAATGGCACCACATGGCATGATACCTTTGTAGGACTTTGGATTGCTGCTCTCCGTCTTGTTCAGAGGGTTAGAACTCCAAGAGAACTTTATTCCTTTTGATTGGTTTATTTAGAGGCAATGGTTCACTTTGCTGAACGATTCTGTTTGATGATTATCCATAGAGTTTTTTCATGCATTTCTCAGCTATTCAACTCTAAATGATCCTTAATTTGTCAGGAAAGAGATCCAATTGAAGGCCCCGTCCCTCGCTTGGATACTCGTATGTGCATGCTTCTATCCATTATACCTCTTGTGGTTGCTGAACTCATTGAGGAAGAGGAAAGAGTGGATATCAATGAACTAAAAAATGACTCCTCAAAGGTTCCAGGAAGCCGTCGCTATGATGTGGTCTCCAGCATACAGTTATTGGGGGACTACCACAGTCTGCTGAGTCCACCTCATTCAGTTGTATCATTGGCCAATCAGGCTGCTGCAAAGGCTATGTTACTCGTTTCAGGCATCAATGTTGGGAGTGCATACCTTGATTGTCTCAGCATGAACGAGATGCCAGTCAATTGTTGTAAGTTATTTGTACTCTTGCCACTAGAAGTATACTTTTTTGGCCTATTTTCAGGTTCTCAGTTTCATTTGGTCATAGGATGCTCATTAAACTTGTACCCATTTTCCTTGTAGCTGGGAACATGCGCCATTTGATTGTTGAGGCTTGTATAGCAAGAAATCTTTTGGATACGTCAGCATATTTTTGGCCCGGGTATGTGAATGGTCACATTAACCAAATACCTAATGTCCCACCTCAGATGCCTGGTTGGTCTGCATTCGTGAAGGGTGCCCCTCTCACTCCAATCATGATCAATGCGATGGTTTCAACACCAGCTTCAAGGTATAATACACCCTCTCCTGAAGTCTTTGCTATCATTTTATGCTCCCAATAGGATCTTAAAATTTCTCAAGCCTTATTGTTATGACATCTCTTGTGTCGGGATCCAATCTCATAGAACCTCATTGTTTAAATCTCTATCAGAAACCTAGTTATCCTTGAAAATAAAAACTAAGTGGTGTTTGTCTGGTCTTCAGTTATTCCTTTTGCTTTCCTGAAGCCAGGTATATCAGATGATCTTTTTGTTAATTTACCAAGAGTAAAGCAACTGAATTTAAGCTCGTGGGTTTGATGGAAGTTTAGCAGAGCTCGAGAAAGTATTTGATCTAGCAGCTAAAGGATCAGATGATGAGAAGATATCAGCTGCTACAATTCTCTGTGGTGCTTCTCTTCTCCGTGGTTGGAACATACAGGTAACTGATGCATCCGCTTCTTGGTTTAGGAGACTTCTTCTGGCTGACTATTTCTTTTTCCAAGTATTGTTCCCCTTTTTTCTTGGTTGTCCTTATTTTCTGTTACAATTTGGAAGGTGAACGTGTTTTATTAAGTATGCTGCTGTCTCTGAATTTGATGCAGGAACACACGGCTCAGTTCATTACCAGATTACTCTCTCCCCCAGTTCCTGCAGATTATTCAGGGGATGAAAGCCATTTAATAGGCATTGCTCCTGTCTTGAATGTACTGATTGTTGGCATAGCACCAGTTGATTGTGTTCAGGTTTTCTCACTACATGGCTTGGTAAGATTCCGTTGTACAATGCTTTAAACACTTTCTCTTGCCTTTTATTAAACATTTTTTAATTGTTTGTTTTACCGTGTTTGTTGATACTTGTATGTTTTTCTTTGTCAAAATTCCTCGTTTCTCTCTTCACTTTGACTTACCTTGGTTTCCAGCAATTTGTGCATGTGTACTATGCTAAGCTCATGCCAACTCCAATGTAAAGTGAGTCACCAAAAGATCCACACTTAACGAAAGACTAACTGAAAATTGGATGGAAGGGCACGTTTGGTAACTTCCCGTAGCAGAAAGGCATAAAAATACTGAATTTTAGTAGTAATGCATGTTTTGTACCATCAATAAGCATCTGCAATTATCACTGTTAAAACTTGAATAGGGCTATAGGAACAAGAAGAGGGCGAGAGATTGTCTACATGTACATCTTACAATGTGAAATCCTTTCTGTCAAATGTATAAAAAAATGTAAATTCCTAGTAAAGCAACTCAACTGAGTTTGTGTTTTCTTTGGCTTCGTCAGATTCCACAGCTGGCTTGCTCGTTGCTTCCAATCTGCGAGGTTTTTGGATCTTGTGTTCCAGATGTGTCATGGAAGCTCCCCGTTGGAGATGAAATCTCTGCCCATGCTGTGTTCTCAAATGCATTTGCTGTCCTTTTGAAGCTATGGAGATTCAACCACCCTCCTCTCGAACATGGCGTTGGAGATGTCCCAACAGTCGGATCCCAGCTAACTCCTGAATATCTTCTTCTGGTAAGAAACTCCTACCTGCCCTCTTCTGGAATTGTCCTCAACGATCAAACCAAACGGAGACTTTCAGAGGTTGCGACTTCATCGTCTCCACACCCAGTATTTTTGGATTCGTTTCCAAAACTCAAGTGCTGGTATAGGCAACACCAGAAGTGCATAGCTTCAGCCCTCTCTGGTCTTGTTGATGGAACTCCAGTTTACCAGACTGTGAATCTCCTTCTTACCATGATGTTCAGAAAGATGAACAGAGGTAGCCAATCGGTGACTACTATTACCTCTGGAAGTAGTAGTTCATCTGGACCAGGAAATGATGATTCTTCTCTTAAACCTAAATTACCTGCCTGGGAAATTTTAGAAGCTGTCCCTTTTGTGGTTGATGCTGCTTTAACAGCTTGTGCTCATGGAAGACTTTATCCTCGTGAACTTGCCACAGGTTAGTTCAACATCTAAATAGTAGTTGGAAAGCTGTCAATATGAAAAGCTCATTTTTTTCTTCCATCTGGACGGGTGATTAACTGAAATGTTTCTGGAACCTTCAGGGTTGAAGAACTTGGCAGATTTTCTCCCTGCATGTTTGGCAACCATTGTTAGTTACTTCTCAGCTGAAGTTAGTCGAGGTGTTTGGAAACCGGCATCCATGAATGGGACAGATTGGCCAAGTCCTGCAGCAAATTTGTCCAATGTTGAAGACAAGATCAAGAAAATATTAGCAGCTACTGGGGTCGATATTCCTAGTCTTGCTGCAGGTTTGTTTCTTGGTCCCTCAAGCTATTACATGCCATTTATCTATATCGTTTTTTGTTGACACTTTTGATGTATTATGCGTTTGAAACTGCACATACAATTTCAAACATTCCAAATCGATGCAAATTGCAATCCTCAATTACTTGAGGGGTAGGAAGTATTCTCAAATGCATTTCGGAAAAGTGAGTTCCACTTGTCTTTTTTCAACTTTTCCGACACATTGAATCAAACAATGTTTTTTAAACTACACCTAACGTAGTAGGATGCAGAATGAACATCACAAAACCTATCAAATTACTATCATACTAACTAAAAACATCCCGAATTCACAAGATTCATAGCCAACTTGCACTGAAGTTTTGATAATCCTTACAGGAGGAAGCTCACCCGCAGCAACTCTTCCTCTGCCTCTAGCAGCTTTTGCCAGCCTCACCATCACTTACAAAATCGACAAAACCTCAGAAAGATTCCTCAATTTGGCTGGTCCAGCACTGGAATCTCTTGCAGCAGGTTGTCCATGGCCATGCATGCCAATTGTGGCTTCCTTATGGACCCAGAAAGCCAAACGATGGTTTGATTTTCTTGTGTTCTCGGCATCACGAACGGTCTTCCTCCATAGCAACGATGCCGTTTTTCAGCTCCTAAAAAGCTGCTTTACTGCTACGCTCTGTGGCGCATCCATCTCAAGCAATGGCGGAGTCGGAGCACTTCTTGGTCATGGCTTTGGCTCTCATTTCTTTGGTGGCATATCCCCAGTAGCTCCAGGAATCCTCTACTTGAGAGTCTACCAGTCGATCAGAGACATCGAGTTCATCACAGAAGAGATCATCTCTCTCATGATGCAGTCCGTGACACAAGTTGCATGCACCGGGCTTCCAAAAGAGAGATTAGGGAGGCTGAAGAGGACCAAAAATGGACTCGAATGTGGCCAAGTGTCACTTGCTGCAGCAATGACAAGAGTCAAACTCGCGGCTTCACTTGGAGCTTCTCTAGTTTGCTTATCTGGTGGGCTAGGGTTGGTTCAACTGCTGTTCAAAGAGACATTGCCCTCTTGGTTTATCTCTAGTCATCGCTCCGAGCTGGGAGAAGAAGATGGCAGCAGCCTTGGAGGGATGGTTGCTATGCTGAGAGGGTATGCACTAGCATATTTCGCGGTGCTCTGTGGAGCTTTTGCTTGGGGGATAGACAACTCATATTCGGCTTCCAAGAGGCGCCCTAAAGTCCTGAGGGCTCACATGGAGTTTCTGGCTAGTGCCCTTGATGGCAAAATCTCTCTTGGTTGTGACAGTGCAACTTGGAAGTCGTATGTGTCGGGATTCGTGAGCCTGATGGTGGGCTGCACACCTCCATGGGTGCTTGACCTGGAACCCGATGTTCTAAAGCGACTTAGCAATGGGTTGAGACAGTGGAATGAAGAGGAACTTGCTCTAGCTTTGCTTGGTACTGGTGGGCTGGACACCATGGGCGCTGCTGCTGAATTGATTATTGAAATGCAATGATTTGCTATTCTTTTTCTCCATTTTTCTGTGGAGTAATCTTCATACTGGTAGGCGGTAGCCGTTCTTTTTATTTACCACGTTTTGCTGTAGGCAGGAAATCTTTGTTGGTTGATAGCCAGATTTAACATAAGATATGCTATAGTCAGGAATTTTGTGCAGTAATAACAGGGGACTCTTCTTTGTACAGTCTAGGTATGAGAACTATTCAAATACAAGTCCAAGCAACAATATGTTTGGTGTTTGGTTTAGTATCTGTTCTGGTGCATTTGTATTGCAACTATATTAAGTGGGATGTATTTGATAATTAATATAGCTAAAGGAAATTGTCGTGAGAAATAATTATTTTTACCTTGTTATATTGGAGATTTCATCATTTTAATTTGTTTAACATTACGTGAACAATTTCAAATGCTGGTAGTAAAAGTATGTCTGAAAAGAATATGTAACTGTTCAATTATGCAAAATTTGATTTCCCTAATACACCCAACCAATCTGCAACTTAAATCAAAGGTGTTTATTGAACTGATAAATCTTACTGAACTGATAAAATCTTACAACTCTTACAACACACATCTCTCCTGATTCGTATATGACTACAGCTCTGTGCGGAAACCTGTTTCATAATCGTCTACAGTTACTTAAAAACTGTGGATATAAATTACAAGAAGCAATGCAATCACTCCACACCACTATAGCCAGGCAACCTCTGCATTCTACTGCTTTGCATAGCTTTCCTAACCGAAAAAGCGTCCTCCCACTTCCCAGCATCAGCATACAGATTGGACAGAAGAACCCTACTAGCTCCATGAGATGGTTCAAGCCTCGCCAGATTATCGGCAGCCCATTCTCCAACATCCACATTGCCATGAGTCCTACAAGCAGCCAACAGCGTGCCCCATATCACCACATCGGCTTCCATTGGCATGCTCTTGATCAGTTTCTCTGCTTCTTCAAGCTGCCCAGATCTCCCCAGGAGATCGACCATACAGCCATAATGTTTGATATCGGGGTTCACATTATGGGCTGATTTCATACTCTCGAAGTATCTCTTCCCTAGCTCCACCATCCCAGTATGGCAGCAGGCGCTGAGAACCCCGATGAATGTGATTGCGTTGAGCTGGATACCTCGTGTTTGCAGGTCGGAGAATATCTCGAGAGAGAGGTTCGCATGTCCATGCATGGCAAGAGCACATACAATGGCGTTCCATGGTGAGACGGTGGCTGCTTTGTCACGGATTTGATGGAACACTTCCAACGCATTGCGTATGCTCCCACATTTCGCATACATGTCGATGATTGCAGCACTCAGATTGTCGTTAAGAGGGATATAGCTATCTACTATGTACTGATGAGCCCAAATGCCTTCGTTTAGGGTGCCTAAAGAAGCAATTGCTGAGAACACACTCACCATGGTCACCTCATTAGCCTGGATACCAGTTGCAACCATGTTATGAAATAACTCCAACGCCATGGCAGGCTGTTCACTCTGTGTGTAACCGGAGATCATCGTGCTCCAAGTGAAAACATCTCTTTCCGGCATTTCATCGAACAACTTAGCTGCTCGGTCAATCATCTGGACTCTCACAAAACCCGACATGAGAGCATTCCATAAGGTGACATTTTTCTTGATTCCCTGATCAAACTGAAAACAAGCCTCCTTGATTCTGCCACAAGCTGCATAGAGATGGGTTATTGTTGCCTGGATAAAATCATAACAGTCGAAACCTTTCTTCACGAGGATGGTATGTAGCTGCAGACCCTCGCTGATTGCTTGTGCTTTTCTGCAAGCAGAAACCAGGTCGACCATCATAACATCACTAGCTTGTAAACCTGAGGATACCATGGATCGGTACATCGAAAGAGCTTCACTCAGCATCTCTACTCGTATATAGCCGTCAATTATTGTGCCCCAAGATACAACATCCTTCTCTGGGACATTATCGAACACGTCTCTAGCTAGATGAATAACTCCAGCTTTAGCATATCCATTCAGCATTACGTTCCATGAGAAGATGTTTCTTACCGGCATTTCATCGAACAATGCTCGGGCATCGGTTAAACTGGAACACAAGCAATACATGCGTAGCAAATTAGTGGACACGAGGACCATCTGATCGAAGATCATCTTGATGACCAGTCCGTGAAGCATTCTGCAGTCTTTGATCCCGCCCAAGCTCGAACAAGCGGATATCAAGCTCGCCATTGTTACTTCATTCGGGAGCACACCCTCGCTTCTCATCTGTTTGTAAATCTCAAATGCCTCCCAACAGAAGTCGCTTTGGGCAAACCCCATGATCATGGTAGTATATGAAACGCAGCCTCGCTTAGGCATTATATCAAACAGCTTGCGGGCTTCATTCAATTCTCTGGATTTCACATACCCAGCGATCATAATGTTATACGACACGGGATCCAGTTTCGAACATGAATTAAACATAGATTGTGCATCGCCCAAGTGCCCACACTTGGCGTACATGTTGATCAAGCTGTTCTCCACGAAGTTGTTGGACTCCAGGCCAGATTTCATAACCAGGCCGTGGATTCCCCTGCCTCGAGAAACATCCAAGTTGAGGCAACATGACTTCAGAGCAGAGACCAAAGCAAGCTCGTAGTCGGAGGCTTGCTGGTTTTCTCCGGAACCAGCTCCATATTGGAGACGGTGAATTGGGCTGCGGATGAAGGTAGCTCCGGTGGAGAAACATTGTAGCGCAGGCGAACAAGAGCTCGTGAGGCGACGTAGAAAAGTAGGTTTGCGAGATGAGAGGATCATGAGACGGCAACATTAGTATTGACTACCCTAATCGCTATCTTCCAGGCCCAAGAGATAAGAGAGCCATTTATTAGGGGCCGCCATGTTTGATACTAGACCTTCTCGGAGTTGTTACTACTGCGGAGCCTTACAACGGAAATTGAACTGTCCCGCCTAGCGAGCGGGGAATTCAGAAATAAAGATTGGAACTTTTGATCCAGAAGAAGCTGTATATAGAATTATGATGACGAGCATAGTTTATTTTATTCCCATTGACAATGCTATATCGATCCAGTTCCAGAATTGAATGACCAAGTCTATAAAGTATACATCTTTTCTATCCAGAAACAAGAAAAATGTCTCCCAGAGCAGGCGGGAAAAGAAAAAGTATAATGAGTTTCATCGGGAAGATCTTGAAACATTATCTTGTTCTGGAATTGTATAGTCTATGTGAGAGATAGCAAAGAGCTGGATTCCTAGAATCTAAACCCGGGGTATAATAGGAAGAGGAAGAGCCTGCTCTTCATCCGCAACACCGCCTTCGGTTAACGATGGAGATCCCTGTTTGCTGCACCCACGTTGGCCAGAGTCCTGCAACAAGAACACAGATTTTGTTATAAGTGTCATCCTTGGGAGAAAACGCAGCTGAATGATTCGGTTAATATATTATCATGAAATGGAAGCTTGAATTATGTAGTGTTATAATCAATACAAATTTCCAGTGTTAATCAATACAAATATACAATCAAAAGATTTCACAAGTACTTGAAAACATTTGCCAGACTATTTTAAGCACGCAATGGTTGTGTTATGGCATCAGAGATCTCACAAGTACTTGGTTCCTGGAGAATGTCACATATGTTTGACCAAGGAGTGTAGATAAAATCAATCATATAGCAAAGGAGTTCCCCTCAAACATGACTCTAGAAAGAAATGCTTCAATGTGTACTAGCAACATCTGAGTTCTGACACAGCGATGGGACACAAAATGCTTGATCTGTTCTATCAAAATTTCTAAAATAAGGCATCTTCTCATCAAAAGACAATCAAAGGAGGAAATTTGAGAGGCAAATAAGGCAAATATATCAGGTAGGGATTCCCACCTCTTTGCTATTTCAACGTACACGGGATAAACAAGATGGGAGAATAGAATAAAGGGGTGGAGTGCCCGAATGTGTGCACTACTACATATAGTCAACCAGGCAACTAACTTTGTCAATTGGACCATTGGCCTAGTGCCAAATGAACCTTTCTCTGAAGTAAACTCAACCATATTATCCCAGCCAGTATTGCGTCTGAACTTTTAGCTATACTAAATATCAGCTGTCAAAGAAAACGTCAATAGTAACTGATAAGAGCAGGGTGGTTATCGAAACAGCAAAGACCTGCTTGGCCTCCTCATGCTAAATTCAGTAGATTTAGCTACCGCAGAAGCTTTATCGGGCACTCAGTAAGAGACTCATCGCTAAATTCTCTAAACTAAAAAAGCAATCTAGATAGTCAGCTTCACCAAACAAGAATTTGTATAACTGGAGAGGTACATTGTCCACAGAGCATTGAACAGACAATTGCTCTTTGGTACAAAAAAAGAAGACAAGCCAACACTACGCAGAAAGCATCTCTAGTTCTTGACAAGACAACAAAGTAGCATCTCATTCTGCCAAAAACACTACTGGATTCAACAACAATCCATACTTCCCGAAAGCATCTAGTGCCATTAGGTGTTTTATCTTCATGTATGCTCTCTTGGGATACATCAAATTCATGAAATCCCTCGTGAAGCAGTCAATCTCCAAGGGTACAGCAAGCATATAGCACACTGGTAGAGTGCAAGTTTGGACAGGACCAATACCGACCCATTAGCAAAACTAAAGCTTTTAGATAGACAATCCAGCCTCAAAATCTTGATCATTCTAAAGAAACAAGGGAAGAAAATAGCATAAGTTTCACACCATGGTAGACTAGGCAAGAGTTACGATTTTATTCTAGCTAAGCCTTGAACAATCAGCATTCAGCAACATCATCTTACAACTGAAGGACTTGTTATCATGTTGAAACGATTTGTTACTTCTGCACCCTAGATGCGACCTGTACAGTGTTTCCATCACTAACCAAGCTTACAAACAAGAAGTAGTCCACAATTGTGAGACCGGGAAGATGGTAGGCAGAGGAGCTCTACATAATATGAACATCTCCAATGAGTAGAAATCAATCACAACCCATCTCTCTTTACGTCCAAAATAGTTCCTCATGTCCTCGGAAACGTCAAGACAAGAGACATGGAAGCAACCCAAAAGGGAGGAGGAAAAGGAGCAGAATTTCTGCTCCTGTTCGACTGCAGATCGCCAACCAGAGAAGCATGAATAAGTCCATCGCCAAGCATGACTACAATATGAAAAATTGGCATCGCCCTCCGGAATTCAATCCAACTCAATCGCCAATGACTCTCAGATGACGGGAGTCACTAACGCAATTGCCCAAATCCTAGAACTAGGGCTTTGATGCGATCAAATTCTGCAGACCCGATCTCTCACAAATTCCCAACAGAGCAACCAAACGAAACAACAAATTCGAAACCCATCAAATCCAATCAACAAACAATCTGATTGAAAAGTGGGGCAATCCAATAGAGAGCCAGGAAAGTAACTTACTTTTTATGCCGCCGGCCTCGCTTAGGTCCCCAGCCTTCCAATTTAGCGATGGGGCATCCACACCTTGCCCTAAAGAGCAAAACCGCCCTCCCATTAGGGGGAGCCATCTTCCTGAGCTCAGCCCTCAAGCACTCATAATCCGGGTTCCTCTCACTCCCACCTTTCCACGGCAACTTATCGATCTCCTTGGCGCCATTGGATTTGACACAATCCTCGGTCTGCAGCTGCAAATCGAACTCCATCGCCTTCTTCAACCCTCTGCATCCTGGCTTGTTGCACTTGCGAGATCTCGACCCACAGCAGAACTCGAGGAAGAGGACCGAGAAGAGGAAAAAGGCGAGGAACCCACAAACGTACGACGCCGGCGGGAGCTGGATTGAGACCTGGATTGATGAATGAGATAAGAGGAGGGAGACGGAGTTGAAGATGTAGGAGAAGTAAGATGTGAGGAGGAAAGTGCCGGCGAAGAGGACTAGGATCAGGATTAGAAGGTCGAGAGTCGCCGATGGAGAGTGCTTGCAGAGAAGAACAGATGATGAGGAGGAAGAAGATAGGGAAGTCTGCGATGCAGTAGGGTTTGAGAAGGCAGAGGATTTGGAGGGTTTTGAGAAGGAAGATGGAGAAGAGGAAGCGGGCATGGCGTAAAGGAGATTGTGCATGTTAATCAGAGTGGAGAGAAATGGAAAAGGGGGAAAATTTTGGGAGAGAGATGAAACGATGAAAATAAAAATCAAAAGAGTCCCCGCTTAATTGAATTTCCTTTTCTTCTTCTTCCTCTTATTAATTTTTTTTTTTTAATAACGGGACGGACGGCGGCAGTAACGAATACCGGATGTGGCGTCGGAGGGAAGCAAAGGGTGAGCGGCGGTGTGTCACACGCGCCGCTGAGTGAGAGGGATCGAGACAAATGCGATGGATTGGGACTCTGTGGTGTGTCAAATATTTTGTTTTTGATTGTTTGCTTAGCTTTGTTAATCCGAGCTAACGGCGGGTTGATTCGAATTGAGCCGGACTAGGTAGGAAAAATATGTGCCACATTCACAAATTTGTTTTGGATTTCGTCTGAATTCATCAAAATATCAAATATTATGGTAAAATCAGGTTCAATTAGATAAAAAAACTAGTAAAATCGATCAACGAATTATCATTCCAGAATATCATTTTGCTGAATTTTTGCACATGTACAATTCCCATGTTACCCTCACTTTATATTAAATTTACCTGTCGTTTTGCTACACAATCAAGAATGTGATAAAAGAACCTTCCTTTTTTTGTAGTTTGCTCAGTTTGGATCAAAATTCTTTTTGTTCCTTATGGTAATTAGGATCTTGCACTTTTTTATAAATAATTTTCAATTTCGATGTTCGATTGTCCCGTATAAGTATGTCGTAATCTTGGGATTCAATCCTTTGGAGGATGCAGATGTTATCTGTGATATGGCGTCCCGGAACGAAACTAGTTTGCGTCTCCGCCACCAGCTCCGGCATGAGCTGCTTCAGTTTCTCAGCAAGACACTTAGTGATTACTTTATAAGTGACATTGCTGAGACTGATCGGCCGAAACTGCTCAATGAGAGAGGGCGCCGGAACTTTAGGAATCAACACAAGAATCAATCGTATCATTGATTTCCTTGATCTTCTCAGGCGAACTCCAGCAAGCTGCTGCAAAGTCCACAACTGACTTCCCCACTACGTCCCAACATTTCTGAAAAGAAAAAAGTGGATTTAGCCCATCTCTCCCCGGAGCCTTAAGGGCGCCCATGGAGGACACAGCTCTTCGTAGTATTTGAGTCAAAATTAACATACTTGTATAGAGGATTAGATATATGTGATGAAGTTAAAATCACATGATTTACGCTCATAGTGGTATCTGAATCACCTTTCAAATAAGAATCCAAAAGACAGTGGTAGTAATGTTGTGATAGAAACCCAATTTCTGGGTTTATAATAATTACTATTATTGATATTATTAGGATATTATTAGATATGACAGATCCTCAATCCCTTCTCGCTCAGGTTTATAAAGGGAAATACTTTCCCAGGGGAGATTTCCTCTCGGCGACACCCCGATCTCGACCTTCTTGGGGTTGGCAGAGTGTCCTATATGGGCGTCAATTGCTGGCCCAGGGGACTAGATGGCAGGTCGGGAATGGGCAAGGGGTGGCGGCTTTGACGGAAAATTGGGTGCCCGCGCTCCATCCAGATCCACCCAGATTTAATCCTCGAGTCCTTGAGGAGGGAGTGGGGTTGATGGTGGCTGATTTCATTTGCCCAACGGTAGGGTGCTGGTTACCAGAGAAGCTTGGGGAATGGTTCCCTCCTGAGACCTGTTGTGCGATCCGTAAAATTCCTTTGCCTCGACGGGGGATTGAGGATAGGATTGTATGGCATGAGACGGGGGATGGGCTCTTTACAGTCAAATCAGCTTATCATTTGGCTGTTCGCCTAGATCAGCAATCTGGGGAATGGCGCCCGGTGGTTAGTTGGATGGATCGGGGGAGCTGGAAGCGGGTGTGGAATTTGGGTATACCACCTAAGCTGAAGGTGTTCTTATGGCAAGTCCTGCACCGGTTCCTTCCCACTACAGAAGCGCTGATTGAAAGGAAGCTAGAGGTCCATCCACGCTGCCCTGTGTGCTGGGCTGCGCCTGAAACTATGGAACATCTCTTTGTTGATTGCTGTGTGGCGCGTGCTTTGTGGGATCTTGTTGGGTTGGAACATGTGGGCCAGGGGTTGCCTCGTACTACCTTCCCTCTTTTCCTTAAGAACCTACTGACCATAGTGACGAACCCTTCCCAGGTTATGAAGGTTGTAGCTGTGCTTTGGCGGATCTGGAAATCTCGAAATTGGGTTGTCTTTGAAGGCAAGCAATTTGGGATACCGGCCCTGCTTCGGCAGTATCATCAGCAAGTAAGGGAATGGGAGTCGCTTCCCCATGAGGTTATGAGTCCTGCCCCGGGGAGGGTCCCCGCGGGGGGGTCACAGGATAATCAGGGGGCTCTGATTTGTCGGTGGGATGGGGCGGTGCGGCGAGGATCACATTCAGCGGGGGGATGGTTCTGATGGGCTTGGATGGGGTCGTGTTGGGTGCGCGAGGGGTTTGTTTCCCGGATATTGATGACCCTATGCTAGTAGAGGTGTTGGCTCTCAGGGAGGCTATGGTCTGGTGTCGGAACTCAGGATGTCGGGGTGTCCGCTTTGAAGGGGATGCGAAGGTGGTGGTGGATAGGCTGCGCTTAGCTCACGGGAGTGATAATATGGCGGGAGCCATTTTTCGGGAAGTATTGCTCTACTTGGCTGAAGATGCGGGGTTTAGCATTCGGTTCGTTGGTCGGCGTATTAACAGGGTAGCCCATCTGGTGGCTAGGAAGGCCCTTCTTTTGTACCCAATAGCGAATCGTCATTTTGATTTTGTAGCCTGGTTGAGGCAGATGATGTAATGATCTTTTTTGGAATATCAATATATGATTATCTTTTGTCAAAAAAAAAAAAAGGATATTATTAGATATGGTTAGTAGTATTTGAGCCATATTAGGATAGTCTATTAGGTTTTTCTAGTTTTTCGTTATAAATATGTACCTTGCATTTTATTGAGAATCAATAAGAAGAATATTAAGCAAATCTCCTAAACCCTAGTCTTCTCTAATCCTCTCCAATTCTCTTATATCCCTATTCTGGCTGCCGGCCTCTTGTTCTTCTCCCAATTTTATTCCTGATCCCCAAATTCTCTTCTAAATCCCGAAATCTCCATCAATTCCCAAATTCCCAACCCTACCGACAGAACCCTAGAAATAGGTTTCTATCATCTGGTATCAGAGACCGGTTCCGGATACGAGTTCGTCACAACTCTCAACCGGGGATGAGCTCTATAACCTGATTATCATGGTACCCAAGCGTGTATATGAAGATCTCGTACCCGACTCTTTCATATGCGAACATCAGAATCGTGTTAGCCTATTATATTCCTTGCCTGGATTCGAGGAAGAGCACGTAGTCGTACAACAAACTGCATCGAATGTACTTACAATTACAGCGGAGCGCCCATTGGATTATGAAAATTGATGGATACGTTTCCAAAGACACATAAGATTTAGAGCCATCTGCAATGTCGTGGATTATCGTGCTGGCTTTGGCAAACTCAATTTCATCATTCAAGTTTCTAAAATAATTCCACTAGTGGAAGAAAAAGATCTGGCTGCCAAGAGCCTTGGCGATCATCAACAACTTTCTACGACATTTGTTGGGCTGCCTGTCTCACAGACGTCAGCCGCAAACCTTGAATCACCACCTGCGGCTGCTGCACCTCCTGTCCCAGACGAGAAGGCAGAGCAACCAGTGAGGGAGGAGAGGATGGAGGCGAATATGCGGCCACCAAAGACATGCCAGCTGCCGTGGATCAATTATCAGCACCGCCAATACACCACGATGCTGCCATTCTTTGCCCTAGACACCCCTAAAGCAGGGATTGCCATTGTGGCGACGCCAGAGAACCAGGAAGCTTCAAGCTTTGTCATGGGTGGCGTGTGGAGAATCCCGGTATGCATTGGAAACTGGACGTTCAAGAAGAAAAGAAGACCAAAACAGAGACCTCAAGCATTCTCTACAATGGACGGGAAGAGGGATATGAAGACGAGGGAGACGCCAGGTTGGCCTCCGGATCGTCGGACAGACGATTCACCGCCACGGTGGGACGATTCCGCGGAGGAGGCGATGAAGCTGCTGGTGAGGAAGGAAGAGGAAGTGAGGGGGAACTGGATCACCTCGTCGGAGTTCCGAATCGAGCAATGGGTGCCACGATTGACGACGACTCCGCTTGGAACGAAGCTTGAGTTAGGTTTTTATCCTAGTTGCTGGGTCGAACCACCGGAGTTGACGGGGAATGTGATGACGGAGCAGGAGCTTCGCGCGGCTTCTTCGACTGCGCGAGTGATAGTGACTCCAGTTGGGGGGGGGGGTCTATCGACGCGGGGGCGAAGGTGAACTTGAGCTCGCCTCCTCACTGGGTGATGTGTTTGCGGCCAGAGAGGGAGATTGAGGAAAAAGAAGTGCCACCGTCGAACTAGATGGGGAAGAAGAAAAGCGGCGGCGGCGGCGGCGGAGTGCTCTGCTCACCGAGGAAGAAGAAGAAGTTGTTCACAAGAAAGACAAACGCGAGGGCGGGAGGTGCGGCTCGCATCGAACCGAAGGACTAGTCGAAGAGGAAGATCATCGGATCACGCTTTCTTCCTCGCTGCGGAAGGAACTTTTCGCCGGAGATGAAGAACGCCCGATCGCGGCCACCTCTCAGCCTCCTGGGAATCATGCCATCGGGAAGGAAATTAAAGGAGGGTAACCATCTCTCTTCCTCTTGCCAAACGCCGGGTGACGAAGATACAAAGAGGGAGGCGAGGGATCGCACGCCGCCGAGGAAGGAGTTGACGGAGATGGCGCTGCTGGTGGGGAGGACGATGAGAAGTGGCCGACAGACGAGGAGAAGGTGGAGGGCGACGGGTTCCTTCATCTAGCAACCCTAGTTTGCACAATAGAAGATGGGTCCGTCCATTTGGGCCACTCTGCTTGTCGGGCTGCCATACCTGATGGGCTAAAGTTGAGGACCAGACTCGTTTTTGGTGGGTTGGAGTTCGTGGGGTTTGATCTGTCAGAGTGGCCGAGGGAGAATTGGAAAACGAGCCGAAGTTGGGAGTAAGTTGGGCTGAAGTCGAGCAAGGTAATGGGTCGTACCACTTGACAAGATTCAGGCAGGATGTAGCGGGTTTCACGGCCGCAATTAAGAAAGAGATGGGCTGAAAATAAGCTAGAGTTTGGGCTGAAGTTTGGATGTAACCATCTATCAGTCTATGGGCCAATTTCTCAAGGAAGGGTTGGGCACCAATTGGGTTGGCTAATGGGTTTTCTTTTGTATGGAGTGGGCTCAGTGACTTGGGAGATGGAGCATGGTTGGAAAAAAAAGAAAGCGCAAGGAGTGGAGGAATCGACGTGCGAATAGCACGATCACGGCAAAGGAAGAGGTCAATTTGGTCAACCTTGAGGGCAAGGTTGGTCTCAAGGTGGAGGGGATGATAGAAACCCAATTTCCGAGTTTATTATAATCTCCATTATTGACATTATTAGGATATTATTAGATATGGTTAGTAGTATTTGAGTCATATTAGGATAGTCTATTAGGTAATTCCAGTCTTTCGTTATAAATATGTACCTTGCGTTTTATTGAGAATCAATAAGAAAATATTAAGCAAATCTCCTAAATCCTAGTCTTCTCTAATCCTCTCTAATTCTCTTCTATCCCTATTATGGTTGCCGGCCATTCTGTTCTTGTTCTTCCCCCAATTCTATTCCTGATCCCCAAATTCTCTTCTATATCCCTAAATCTCCATCAATTCCCAAATTCCCACCCCTATCGATATAACCCTAGAAATAGGTTTCTATCATCTGGTTTGAAGTCTTGTTGAGTCTTGTTTGAAGTTTGACTATTCGAGTCTTGTTTGAAGTCTACAATTGTAAAAATCACATTCTTCATGTTGAGTCCATATGCATCATCACAGCCAAAATACGAATATTTGAGTGCTAACCACCCTCACCATGTGAGAATAATATGGCATATTGCAAAGCTATTAAACTTAGATGGTATATACTAAATTGTTCCAGTTCATAACTTTGACAGTGGACAACAGTATTAGGAGAAAAAGTTTGCTCCCCAGTAATCAACAATTAAAGCAACTACCTGATTTAAAGATGACAAATCATATTCTCTACCATCTCCTTCTCTTTTAGCAAGTAACTTAATTTCAACTTGCAAAAGAATGGTGTCATTTAATATATCACTTGTAGATCGAAAACGCCTTTACTAAATATTACTTTAATTTGTGCAATTGTTGAATAGTTGAATCACACAAAAGAGTTTGAAATTGGATCTCTTGAGAAAATAATCTACCCGGTTTTTGAGTTCATTGCAGTATCATAGATGTAGAGTTGAGCAAACTTTGGTATGTTTAGGTAACATGCTATTGATTCGATGATATACTTAACTCCCATTGAATAAACATATACTTCCTCTCCATCATTTTTAGATCTTTCCAATTTACCTCCAATATAAATTTATGCAAATACCCCATTATAGCATTGAACATGTTCCAAAAACTAATGTCTCATTGAAGTATTTGCTTAGTAGCATATTCAAAACCTTTGGCGGTTGCCTTCGACGAGGGAGGTTCACATTGCCTTGTCTATAGAACAATGAACACTTTGGCTTATTGAAATTCTTCGTAGGTTTGGTATTTTCACATTTCCACATCATTGCTCCATAATATTTATACGATGGGTATTCATTATCAATCACTTCAACAGCTGCAGCGAAATTAATTCCAATTTAAGAAATACATTTGATAAAAATTCTAATATCAAAATAAATGAAGAAAACTCAAATATTTTAATATCAATAAATCGTGAAAAGTCTTCAGAGCGCATCACTTGAAGACGTTTATAATGATTTTTGGAAAGTTTGATGGACCTAACAATAATTTTTTCTTAGTTTGTAAGTTATTATCTCATTTTGAAGTCTTGGATAAGAATTACTGAAGTAACCAATCTTAGTGCCAATACATAATTGGACTTTTTTTTTTACAATAACATAATTTGACAACATATAAATAAATAAAAACATGAAATAAATGGACTACTGGTAGGAATGTTGACATTTTTCCATATATACGCTTTTGCTTATAAAGAGCAGGTTTTCTTCTTGCTAATTTCTGAATTGTAGAATGTAAGATCAAGTAGTGTTAATAGTTAGAGAGAATATCAACAGTTGATAGTTCATCGATTTTCATACCATCAGAAAACTTATTTTGTACTTCATATAAAAACTTATCCGAATCAACCACACCCTTCTTGTGATATTAAAATGACTCTCGTTTTCCTAAATCAAACGTGTTCATGGACAGACATTAAATTGTAAGATGTATTTAACAATGCGAATAAAATTATATGTACCTACATTCAATTCATGACGATCGAATTGAAGTACTATTTGATATTTTGGATGATTCTTCGTGGGGAATATTTTTTTCAAGGCATAGAATTGCGAGAATTATTGTCGCACTCGCCCAAATTAGAAATGTAAATTAACTTTAGTCTAAACAATATATAGCAAAATAGCTGATGATGGATGGGTTCTAACATGAGGATGAAAACCTTAATTTATTACTTAATTAAATATGGTTTAGGCTTTCTTATATAATGCAATTAGTGAAGAATAATTCATACCCCAGGATGAACCTTGACACTGATTAAGCTTATGCAATGATCCAAATCCAAGGGGATATGTCCCAAAGACTTTTACCTGGACACTACTATCGATACCCTCCAAAGCGAAGCAGTTAAGGAACAATATTAAAGAGGGACAATAATTCAATTGCGTAGAATTTTGTTGGAGAAAGAGGAAGTGAGTCTCTATGGTACTGGCTGATTAACATGTTAGAGAACCCTTAAACGAATTAATCAACAATTTCTAATCATGTTAGGAAATTGTTGTGTTTCTGTTTCATAGTAGATTAAAAGGTTAGAAAATCTTAGAAAGAAAGCAAATTTAGACCCGCTCATTAGCCGAATAAATTACATCAATAGTATGAAAAAACATATGTACAACCTTGGATTAACCAACCATCCCCAACAATGTGTTTTATTTATTTATTTATTTATTTTATAGTCAATTAAAAAATTAGAGCGTTCATATAAAGACAACAATCATAACCAATTACATAACAATTATTATATAATTCCTAGTGAGATAACATATCACAAATATATGTAAAGGGATGGATGTGTTAGAACATTCACATCAATTTAATTACAAAATAAATTGCATATATTGTCGTGGATAAATATTATTTTTTAGCTAAACCTTTCAAATATTCTAAAATATTAGCTGATTCTTTGAGAATACAAAATATTAGCCAACCGTTAAATCTCTGTAAATACTTCCGTTCGATGATGATGAGATGGCAGATGTGATGTTGATATGGAAGGAATATGATGACATGGCACTCCATAGCGGAGACTTCTCAGGTGTCGTTATTGTTGCTAAAGAGAGGAGCAACCCGCTGGCGATGCAAAATAGACCTCCACGTCGGAGCGAATCTCAGGAAGAACGAAGGAACGATGACGAAGGGAGAACGAAATTGGCGGTGGAGACGATAATTGATAACCCTACTTTTAATTATAAAATTCAAACATATTTGTTGTAATTGACACGGTGAGGATGTGTCAAACATGTGGATTAACGATTAGCTTACGTGTAACTCTATTAAAGCTAATGTTTACTTTAACGAAAAATTGCTATGATTTTGTAGCAAGGTTGTCAAGCCAGTTTATACTGTTGTATCGGTTTGCAAGTGGAATGGTACGACGAGTGGTACAACCGGTTTGTGCCGGTCATGACGGTTTGACAAAATATATAAACATGTGAAAATACTTAATATTCAATGTAATTAATCATAAATAAAACATAGTTGAGGAAAATTAATTATAATTCAAAAAATAACACCAACTTTAACGTTTAAATTCATAAAATAAATAATAAATTGTTTTATTAATTAAACTCACTAAAACGAAGTCATTTTGCTTAGAATACGTAAGTCGATCGTGCAGGCCATATCGGTGGTGTTATGTTGGTTTCATGACCGGTACTGGTTTAACCAACTGGCATGCCACCACCATGTTTTGTAGTGTTATAAAAATTTGGGCTAATATTTCGTATTCCCAAAGATTTAGCTAATATTTTAGAATACGTGAAAAATTTGACTAAAAACTAATATTTATCATATTATCTTTATTGTCACCATATAACTTTATGCATTCATATCCACAGTCCGTCCCTCAAAGCAAAATCTACATTGGTAAAAAAGAGAGGAAATGTACACAAAAAATAGACTCTAGAATTCAATGAAAAAAAGACTCTAGACTCTAGAGACCGGCTAAAATTAAAACTACAAAGACCAAAAAGGCCTTCCAAACTGTGGGCAAGAAGAAGGAAAAAGCGTATGAGTTGGGTTCTGGAGCGGAACCTCCATATAAGATTTGTTTAGATTCATTCATTAGATAAAAAATAACCTAATAACACAATCATTGTTTTAGTAAACAACAACAATGAGATTTCATATTGTGAAAAAGGCGCAAAAACATTCACGGTCTACCCTTTTAAGTAAGTCTCTTTCAATATATCTCACTAACCAATCATTAGCAAACTAGTCAAGAATTCTACTTGGAAACTTGTTTTAATATAATTCAAAGTTGAAAATGCTATTTCTACACTTGCTGTTGTAAGTGGTAGAATCAAAACTAGTGGAATTGCCGCTCTTACTGGACAATTTCAGAGTTGTTGGGGGAAAATTAAATAGACATAAGGAGAAAAGAGATCGGATTAGGTCTTTATTGCAATTGGAATTTCGCTTATAATATAATAAATTAACTTATGAACAAATAATCAATGTGTTATAGTGACAA